AGTCAAATTAATAATTAAAAGTACTATAACAAAGTTTCGTGTGCCCTTAAGTGAACCCGTAAGTTACCACGTAAAACAGAAACTTACGAGAGTGCTAAGTGTGTTCCACGCAACAGCCGTACGTATAACGGATTCGAAAGTTACCTACCTAAGTGAGCACTTAAGTGCACTTTTTATGCAACCGGGCCCAGGCCAGCGAAGTTCAACGCGAAAGAGGCCGACAGAGCCTAGAGCGAGGAATTAAAAACAAAGGAGTGACCCATTTTTTGTAGCGGCGGTGACAAAATGAGAAATGCTAGCGGCCACCAATGCAAGTTGAAAATAAGCAGCAGCGAAAAAAAGTGGACGAGAACACGTACGCCCTTTCCTCCATAAAACATTTAGCTAAGAAGTTTCTGGAAGTTTCTTAATTAATCGACGGCCACTAAGCTAGCCAAAATACGCTGCGTAAACAGGTTGCATATCGCCAATAAAAAAAATAAAAACCAAAAAGAAGGAGAAAGAGGGTGGATGGGTGAAGCTCGATCTACGGTTCAAGTTACTCGTTACGTAAGCGTAACGCGATCGTTCTCAATTAAACTCTCGATCCTCCGAATTCCGAGTGATACTCCACGAGAAAACCAATTTCGTTCTTCCAGTGAAACAGGGGTAAAGGTTTTTTTTTGTTATTTGGACTGCATCGTGTTTCGGTTTTGTTTGAATTCGTTAGTGAATTTTGCAAAGCGTTTTTGTTGACTTTTAATTAGGTTAGGTTTAGCGGAAGGGATAGGGGGGGTGGTGGGGGGAAGGAGAGGGCTTCGGTACCCATTAAGTGCTTCAAAATAATTAAAAATGGACGCGAAAGAAATTGCGAAAAGGTCGCAAAGACTGTAAACAAAAGTGTAAATTTCACTAGGAACAAACGCAGGCTCCGTACGGGCACAGAAAGCACAGACGAGACTTTAAAAAAGCTGCCCTAACTGAGTTAAAGGGGGGAGAAAGGCCGGATATGTTGTCTATTTTCGATGTTAATTGTCATTGGCTCGGAAACTAAGAAATCACTCGGCTGGTTTTTGCAATTTAGATGAGGGCCGGGGGTAGAAGTCGAAGTTTTTATGAGACGAATCAAATTACTATTTGGGTCGACCTTACTTCAGTTGAGTTCGACTACTGGGTTACCAACGTCTAACTTGGCTAAGCGTCGAACTAAGTTCAAAAGTTATAAGGGCTTTGCAGAAACCCTTTTGTAAGAGACAATTCTCTTGAGAAACGGCTCTTAATGTATTAATTTGTAATGAATAAACAGCATTTTACGGAAACCCAGATAATACAAACACATTAATGGCATGTACCCTTGATGTGTGTATGTTTGTCCCCTAGAAGATCTGTACACTTCCCAGGGGCGTAGCCAGTATTTTTCAGAGGTACGCACAACTCACCAAATGTCCCTGTCTCCCCTGTACCCCACCCCACACCAAGGTAAGGTTACTGTAAGCCTAAGCGTTTATGGCGTCTATAAGTAATTTGAAAAATTCTTTTACGCCTTTTTGAGTTTATTGACTTATAGCACGCCAATCGCTTTAATGACTCAAGGCTATGTTTACAGAAGTACAGAGATGCGGGAATCCAAAAAATTAAAAAGCTCCCGGTCTGGTCAAGTCTCTGGAGATTTGAATCCGAAATCGAAAGTGAATACTTTGTATCTAACAATTACCTTTAATTCCTCAGTGTTTTGTAGAGTAAACAATTCTTCCAACGAATCATGATGCTTTCCTCCTTCGATCAAAAAGAGTTTGCGGTAAAACCAAAATGAAAGTGTCACGCTCATGAATACAGGGTGCTTTAAAATATTGATGGCAAGGGTAGCAAATAAGTCACTATTTAAACGAATTCGCGTTTTTTAAACTTTTGCGTTTATTCCAACTTGCTAAAAACGGCAAATGAATAGGAGAATTTCACTGAGTTGAATCCTTGAGGACCGAACCCAAGTTTGATCTGGGGATGGAAAAACGCATCGTCGTGTGTTTATTCTCATGTCCTCCAAACAACATCCCGTAAAAATATTTCACGTCGTGGTCGTGCGCGGCAAAGAAATTTACCAAGCAGCGTGCTACACGTGCAAAATTTGTTGTTTAACTTTTAAAACCTCTTGCTTTTTGACGCAGTTAGTCTCGTTGCTATCGCTGTCGTCCTTGCTAAATCCACTCAGTTTTATCGATGTGTGTAAACTGTTGGAAATCCGAATGCGTTTTTTTGTTTGAAGACTATATGAACGCTTACGAAGTGATCCGAATACCCTCAATAAAGTAAGTCCGGAATCCTTAAACCGAAATATTTATGAATCCTCTAGTGTAACCGTAGCGCCCACGCGAACAATCCAGTGGTATCTCAGCCTTTTATGTGCAAATTTGTGATTCCTTTACCGTCATTTGTCACATTACTTTCAACCAGGGAAGATCCCTATGTTAACGTTGATGTAATCTTGCCCTACTTTCGTCTAGTGCGAAGAGAGGCCGAAGTGAAAACAACGCGTTTACGCTTTAAACCATCCAGCCTTGCTATTTGCGCTTTTAAATATATCCCATTGAAGATTCGGTCCATCAATGAATCACGTCTCTTTCCTGGAAGCCGACATTCGGTTGTAAAAAGAAAAATCAAACAGTGAATGAATTGAGCCGAACTGTGCTTTTAAAATAATTAACTTTCATCTATCTTATCCTTTGTATTTTAATCTGTTCATTATTCACTTTTGTATCTCATTTTTTATTATATTTTTATCCTCGACTTTTAAAGGTAAGACGTGTGTACTGTGCGTACAGGTAGCTACGCCCCTGCTTCCTATCTGTCTGAAACGGACTAGAAGAATCTGTTTGTCGATCCGGCAAACTTTGATATTCAGACGAGCTAAACTGAGACAGACGCGCGCCCAAACTTATCATGAACTTAATCTGTTCCGTTTGGATCGTCTCATGAAATGTTCGAAGCCTGACCCGCCTGAGCCTTAGGTTGCTTGCTTCTAAATAAACTCTCTAGTTGGCTTTTCTAGGATAATTTAATATTTAGAGACTTTAACTGAGTGCATGCAACACAATTGAAAGCAAACGGCACAATGCCGCGGCATGAGCATTTTGTAGCTTTATTTAAAGCAGATACTTGAAAAAAAAAATACAATGAGCAAAAACGGATATAAGGTTTACTGGAAACGATAAATATAAGAAAAATCTCTCGTAACAGCTATAAATTGTTCGTGTTATGTAAATCGCTTGATAATCAAGGTATTTTCATCCATGTCAGCAATCGACCATTTGCGCGATGGCGTCATTTTACTACTGGTACTTTTACCACCAGAATCGATTTCGTTTCTCCTTCCATATTTAAATTTTGTAATCCCAGCGAGGTTTAAATAACAAAGAGGGTGCCAATGAGGTATAGCTGTAGTCAGTAAACAGCTAAAAATATGCTACTTAGTCAGTAAGCAGCAAAAAACGTTTAGACAGTTAATTGGCATGATTGAGAGTCCTGCAGACGTTAAAATTGTTTATAGGATGGGGTTCCCAAAGACTCCCAAGTTCTCTCCCACTTTTCCAGGATGCAATGCACTGGTTTGCCATATTTTCTTTAACACTTCATAAAATCAGCCTGAAGTGAATTATTTCTTACGAATCTGGCCTAACCGACGCCCTGATTTGTCTTCCGTGGTTGAGCCTAAAGTGACAGCACCACTCTTCTCCTCATCCGGTCTTTCTGTAAATAAAATTCTTGAACAAAAGCACTCAATGACATCTGAATTTCTATGCACAGTCATAACTAAAACAAAATTGTCTAATCTAATTGGGTCTCGGCAGCCCTGATTTCAGCATTAAATTAATAGGACGATGTAATAGGAAAGTACGTATCATGCGTAAGCTAGTATAATTGGACAGAAAAAATAATGAAGCATGCGCCATTGCACGCGCACTCTTGAATGTGTCCTGAAGGTAAAGAAAGGGAATCGGTAAGAAAACTTCTTGTCCAATTAACAATCTGGCCCGGGTTGCTCGAAGCATGGTACCATGGAAACCTATACATTTTGATACCTCTTAACCAACGGTTAGCGCTAACCAGGCTTCGAGCAACCGGCCCCTGTAATTTAAACTTATCAGAGGATTAAACAAATCCGATTCCCGCTTAACGCGGTTGCGCGCGCTTCCGATTTTGTTTTATCGCTCATAAGATTACAGGCGGAATTAGACTTCATTCAGTATTATTACGCCGCATTATAGGCACTACAAACACCTATTTGCAAGATCACGCAAGCAAAGAGGTATAGTGAGAAAATAAACCATTTTACAGTTGTGGGCTTATAATAACCTAGTCTTCGCGTTAAGCGTAAGAACAACGTGATTTACACAAGAAAGCAGAAAGGGTTGTATCAAAACAAGGTTCCTTCTTTTTCACTGTGAAATGGTTGCCTGTTTCCCTTTGAATTGAGAGATATAACCGCACACAGTTCGAATGCAGGCTTAATCACAGAATGACGCTGCCGTCGCATATACGTCAGCGAACAGACTAGAGTGTAGGGAAGATTGTCAAGTACATCTCTATCATTCTGTCTCACCATATCGTCTTTTCATTTCAGAAAGTCTTCATTTGTTTGAATTAATCAATTTCTAACTTTTGGGGCTACTTCGCTCTTTATACGCTTAAACAATTACCTGTTTTTATACACTTGTCAGTTAATATTTTGTAATTTATAAGTTAACGATAGTGAAAAAAGGCCTTTATACGTTAAGCAGTTAACCAATTGGCACCCTCAACAAAAGCTCTAATTTGCACAAGAAAGGAAAACACTGAAGCATTCTGGTAGTAGTAGTAAATGACGTCATCGTGCAAATGGCCTACTGATTATAGCCTTTTATTTAAGGTCCTCGCTCCTTGTAGAAAGACGTTTTTGTAAATGAGTAAATTGGCGGGTTAAAACGTTGAAACTTCTACAGCCACTGAAGACTATCAATAAAAACAGACATCAACACACAAACATTTTAGCGAACGTAAATTTTCCAGAAATCACCGGTGGTCACGCCAACAATTATATCATCGCATTCCCATCTTTTAGCTTGGCCACTGTCGCCTGGATGATTAAGCGCCCAATGAAATTTATGAAGAACCCAAGCAGGGTGGTTGTATAATCTGTCTTCATCAAATGTTGAATGGCCCCATTTAGCCAATTCCCAATTTTGGCAAGCACCTGCTAACCTTGAGTTTTCATTTTCCATTCTGACGTAAGAGCCACACGAGGCGGGCTGGGTATCTGTCTGACCGCTGAAGTACTGGACTACAGCTTCACCAGTGCTGTTAGCAGCAGTGGTCACGTGGAACGTACGTCCATTGTTTTTACTGCAGTGGAATCTCAGTTGGGTGAAAGACAAGTGTGTTCTCAACTCATTCATGGCGGTTTTTGTGAGAACCATTTGATCACTGGTTATTCCACGGTATGAAGTCTTTACTGGCAGCAGAGAGGGAGGAGTTGAGCTTTCCATCGTGATGTTGGAAACGAGGAGCCAGCCTCCTGAAAGAAAAATGTGAACGTAAAGAGGTGTTTATAAGCTGCACAATTTAAATTTGATTTCGAACTTGCTTTCGGACGCGAAAAACCAGCGAGTTTTTAACAGGCGGGGAAGGTAGTTGCTTTTGGCTTTTCTTACCATGGTCACGCGTTGGCTTTGTTCCGTACGTTCCATGTTTTGCTCCAATTAAGCAAAATTTGACAGGTGAATTTATGCTAAAAATTTATACAGCCTCTGGAAGCTCGTTTACTTACAGCTGAAGCTGACAGATTTTTGTATCGTCTTACAATTGTATGATGTTTTTAATGTAACTGTCTTTCTGCTCTGGATCTACAAACTGAACTGCAGCTCAGTATCAAGATTCTTCTGTTATTCATGGTTTGTTTATTGCGTTTTTGGTTGAGAAATGCGCCGCTTGTCAAAGTCGTCGGAAATCCCATTGCGGATGGCAACATTTTCAAAAAAATGAGCTTACTTAAACCCATTAAACCCATCACTGCCTTGCATACACCATTATTTTAGAAATAATCTGATCTGGCTGGATAGTCCTGATTAATATTAGAATTCTCCTGACGACTGGATTGGTCTGGCCAGCTAGTTGTGACAAATGCAAAGCGCCCTTAGAGTATAAGAAATATACTTTTAGCAGCAACATGAAACTACACATAATGCAACTTAAAAATTTCATGGGAACATTACCTTTCACAAGTTATATGTGTCGGGGCCTCTTCTCGGAAGAAGCCTCCTTGTGGTTCGATTCTCGGCCCCCTACCCCATGCAACCACAAGGCCTTCGCATTTCGGATGGACGCTTACAGGAGTTTCGACTGCATTTAAATTCAAACCAACAGACCTGTTAACAGAAACTCTCGACTGTGTTCGTATAAATTCATGAAAAATGTCACCGTGAGTGTCAGACGATTTTTTTCTTGCTTAATTCCTGAGAACGGACCTCCAGATCCAGGGTAGAAAAATGCAATTACCACTTAACATCTGTATGGTATAGTTGTAAAAAAGGCTGTACTGCATTTAACGTACGTAGCTTTTCCACTTTTCAAGCAAGTTGCATTTAAGCAATAGAAAACGTTTTCCGTGTTTGCATAGCCTGATATAAACACGAGAGGGGTTGGGAGAATTCGAGACAGTTATGCAAACCCGAGACGAAGTCGAGGGTTTGCATAACTGTCGAGAATTCTCTGTGTACAAATAGTCTCAAATGTTGTGACCACTCTCCTTGTTTTGCGTCATTGGCATACTAGAATCGAGTGCGATTTTCGGATGTTTTATCGTCGTTTATAGTTTTTAAGTGTCTTAATGAAGCCATGGCTTTCTATTTTGCATATTTTCTAACGTTTTTGTCTTGTCATTTTACCTTTTTTCCAGGGCGGTTCGGCAAAGTTAACAATGTATTTGCGATAGAAAGAGAGCAAGAGATCCTAAGTGAAACAGCTCTGCCTTCCTCTTTTGTAATTTTCAATTTTCTATTAAAAAGCTTGAAAGTAATTTTCGGTCATGCAATCAAATTGAGTTCAAAAATATACTGCATGTTTATGCCGCTAAGAAAAACTGATAACGCCGCAAAGTTTATTGACGGTCTTTGAAGCAGAATAGTTCAAAAGGGCTTCATCGAGATTATTTTGTAGCACGCAGTTGTCATTCATTGCCACGGTGATACGTTTAGACAGTAGTTCGCATGTCACCTACGCATAAAGTGTGAAATCCTCAGGGGGTGGGGGGTTGTGGGAGGAGTCGCCTAGCCCTTCAAACCCTAACCCTCTTTAAGACAAAGAAATGTTTATTTTGCTACCCTGTTAAAGACAAGAAACCTACTTTCACAACTCTGATTCATTTCGTTTTAGTGCTTTTTAAATTGACATCATGAAATTAGGGTTTTCTTTAATATATTGCTGGTACCTCGGCATGTAGACCGCGCATCGCCAGCTTTCGCTTCCAGTCAGAAAAGATACCCTGTTCAAGACTTAAATTAGTAAACTTGTATTACCCTGAAAACCATACCCTATTCGGTTTTGGCCAAATAAGGGAATCCTCAGCTTTGCTAAAAAAATGAACTACCACGCTTTCGGCTGTCCCTCGCTCAAAAGATATCTGTAAAATTGACGTAGATGTCTTTAAATTTGATAATGGTAGCTGTTTATAAAGAACAAGCCAGGGAATTTATTTCAATCAGAAACGGAAAAGTACTTTGAATGAGTTATGATTGCTCACGATTTCAGATTTTTTAGGAGCAGATCTCACCTCCATCAGTTGTCATGTCACAGTAAACTTTCAATGGGGTTCCACTTTTCTCAGGGTCGATCCAGTACCTCCCGTCTCCTTTAGAGTCACCAGAGTCCCGGATGCTCTTACAGGAATAAGCAGGGTCCTTGGAATTCCAGCCTCGCCTTGCTGCAGCAGATAATAAAACAAATGACTATTTATGGTAAATATTTGCTCCGCCGTGTGGTAATCATACAATCAAATTGAAAAATTGACGAGCTTTACTCACGAATTTCACATCTTTTTCCTTTGTAGTCCGGATGACAATAACCAGTTTGTTTCTTCTTGGTCGGAAAATCTTGGCAGGAAACCTGATAACAAAATAACGAATTGAAATTACAAACATCAAACAATATCTTAAAACTATGGATGACGTCATCATGTGCTTTGGTTTTCATCAGTTTTATTTGCTTTAGAAGCAATACAAGTAAATATGTTGATAGTATACCTTCTTTCTATTTTCTTCCATAAACGATATTTACCGTCTGAGTAATAACAAACATTTATCCTTTAAGCTGCTTTAAGCCAGTCAGGCAAACCAGTGAGAAAAATCGTTATTTAGAACAAAATGTTATCAAAACTACTATTTATAATATACATACTGAGAAATACTCACCAAAAAGCTATGTCGTAAATTTTCGTACGCAAATTAGTTCTCGCCAATCAGAGGAGCAAACGATGGTCTTCACACGTGAAAACAAAAATGATACGTCCAATCAGATTCGCGAACGATGTTTTTTCACGTGTGAGAAAAATGATACGTCCAATCAGAAGCCACAGAGGTGTGTGAAATTCGCGCCAAAATTCCCGCCTTTTATTGCAGCTTACAGTGCCGCTTCGCACACATTCAACGAGAAAAGTTTTACTCAAAGAGTATTTCTCGCTAAAAAAGTGAAAAAAATTTCGGAAATGGAGTGGAATAGTTTCGTTTGTTTCACTGTGGATAAAGAAAACGGTAGAGAGCCGGCGAAACAACAGCGGAAAGGGATAAACAGAACGAGACGTAAGCTTTTGTTGCGGTTTTTGTCGGAGCTACTTTGTCTTTCATTTAAGCTTAAGCTTATATTGAAACCGACCATTTTCCTTAAATTCACTCATTTTCAATTGTGCATTGAGAACAAACAGTTAAGATTACTTATAGTTCTTGGATTACCTCATATCCTCACCGTCATTTATGTTTTTAACAAACGTTTTTACTAAAAAGCTGATACTTCGTTTTCGTTGTCATTTTGCGGCAAGTGTGTAGCGGCAAATTTTAGCATTTTTGAAAGATTTAAAATAAAAAGGCCGCCAAAATGATGAATGTCTCAGTATGTATATAATAAACACAATACCACATGGAAAGTGCTTTGTACGGTATTTACGCACTCGTTGTTTTTGTATCAGAAATCTTACTTGTTCGCTGCGCTCACTCTTTCGATTTCTGATACGTCAACAACTCGTGCGTAAATACCGTACGCCAGCACTTGCCACTTGAAGTATTCTCTATTTACGATATATACTAGAGTTCTGAAAACATAACTACTTGAATTCTTATAATATCAGTACTTGAAATTCATGAGGAGACCTCGAAAATCCAGAGATTTTGAGCCGGAAGTGTAAAAACTTAAATATTTGTCTGTTATCTCTTATTTGAAATACGATAAAACCGAACAGGGTGTTCGTCGTAAACAACAAGTTTTTAAGTTGTTTTTAGCCAAGGTTTTTTCTTGAAGTCTTTTTTATTATAAAGCTCAGCTATAACGCGCACTCTGATTGGTTGAAAAAGCATGTTTTATGAGAGTATAAAACACGGAGCTAAAGTTGTCACGATCGCGAGACTACAACATCACTTCTGCGAAGTCGAATCTTATCTTACTTTCAGATTCAGTTTTTTCGATCGGAAGCTAAAACAGTTGTTTCCAAATTGTCATGTTGATGACGTGCAGGTTTTTATAGGCCGCCGAATTGGCCGGATTTAAAAGCAGTTTTTACCTTAAGAAACCCAATTTTTGGTTTTGGACGTAAAAATAACATTTCTTCTGCATTCAAATTCATAGAACATTTAGCTCGTTTCACTTTGTGATATCTTTGAGTCTTTGACAGCTTTGACAGCTTTTGGCTTATTCAACCAATCATATCATTTGGCCCGATTCTAAAAAGGATTGTGATTGGCTATTTTAAGCGTGTTTTATGAGAGTCAGTGTAGAACACGATGACGACACTTACGTTCGCTTTAAAAAAAAGTTTGTTTTGAAATAAGAACGCGTGGGAAATTTAACGGATTCTTTATCATAAAACAAATAAAGAAGAAGCCTTGACTGTGCTCTGTTCTTTTGTAAAGTGCTTAGGAAGCGGCTAATTAAAACACTCGAGAAGTAGGGAGAAACACTCGACTTCGTCTCCTGTTTCCCTCTACACTTTTTCCGTGCTCTCGGCCATAGGCGTACGGGCAATTTTTTGCCAGGGGAGGCAGTAAACCATTTGTCCAAAAAATTCTCGCAAGTTGCCCAAATTTTTACGAAACAGTAGAAAAGAAAAGAGGGCCATACGATGCAATAATGTAGGCCGTACTGGCCTATAAGGTGGCTCGATGCTATGACAGTTTTTCAGGGTCAATACCTCCTACTTTGGAGAATAACTACGTCGCCTTAGACAAACATTTGGAAAAATTGCTACCATAGTTTTATTAGATAAAGATGAAAATTTATCATGAGCAGGGTTTTAATGACATCGGAATTGACATAGCAACGAAATGACGCCATTGTCTATTTTACTTGCAGCAATATTTCTCGGCACTGGGAACTGTTCCTACAAAATTTTTCACGGGAGCTTTTTTCTCCAATAGTCTCCTCGATGTTCGTGAAGTTAAAAAGGAATCTAGAGGAGTGTTATTGGGATATTTTGGGATGAAGTTTTTATCGTTATAAATATGGTTAAAAAAAATCTTGATGTTTGGCCGTTATTTGTAGAAAACGAAGCTCTTTTGAAAAGCAATTTCACCTCATGGTAGCTTCAATCTTTTTAAAAACGTGTGTAAAAGATATGATCATCGAGATAGCTCCGGCCGATTGCTAGAGACAAGGATTTCATTAGTATGTATCGAGGCGCTCTTGTTAACATTTCGGTCTACTTTAATAAATTATTGCTTGATAGATTTTTAAACAAACTTAATATTCTTCTCGTAATTCGAGCTGAGCACAAGTCAGCCACTTCTTCATTTTCACACCCACTGTTGCTGATGCTATCTGCCATACACTGTTCTACGAGAGGAGAGGATTCTAGAAAGATATGTGGAAGTTTATTCTAATCAATTCACGACTGGAAAGAGCCCATTCCAGTCAGTGCAGTGCAGTACAGTGCTCAACAAAAAAAAAAACTATAAATATGTAAATCAACAAATGATACCCTTCCTTATAACCAGAAACTCATCACGTGCTAGGAAACCACTGTGAGTGTCTCGAGAGAAAGTAACTGGATTATTAAGCTGACTTCAGAATTTTTTCAGATTAAAATAGAAAATATTTGTCTCTTTAGACTAATAAAAAAACATGGAAACGTCTTTGAAAACTGGCTTTGCCCAATTTTTCTCTTGCTGCCCCAAAAAATCTGAATTGCCCAAAATTTGGGGGGGCTGCAGCCCCCCTCGCCCCGCCGGCCTGTACGCCTATGCTCTCGGCGGCCTCACTCTGTACTTTACAACAGAACAGGGCACAGTTAGGGCTTCTTTATTTGTTAAGTGAAAAGCCATGGTTGATGTTCAATCAGTAGAACTCACCTTAAGAGGTCCATAATAAGAAGATCCTTTCATCTTTTTGAACTGGCTTTCCGGCGTCATCTTGCGTGTTTTGTTGTTCAGCTCACAAAGTCGTTTTGCAACATCTGCACCAGGACGAACATTAAATGACTTGCAACTGTTATTTCTGAGGCATTTGTGGTGACCTTCAAACTCGTCAACAACAGTAGACGCATTCATGACATGATCAACTAAAATATGGTCTGAAAGATAAAGTTACGAAAAACGAAGGAATATGAAACCATCAGTAGGGTTAAACATGAACCTGTCCAAGGACATACCTTTTTTCATTGAATTTAGCTGTACATTTTATGATGAAAGATATTCTTGCTTGCTAAATTGGAATTAAATACATGTGACAATCGACAGAAGTAAAAATAAAGTGAAAACAGTTAAAAATAATTTTAACATGAGACAATTCGGAATAATGGAAATGCTTTCAAAGTGCTTTTTTGTGCGAGTTTGTTATCTTAGATTTATTAAAATGGTGAGTATTTAAAAGATAAAATATAAAAAACTCTACTTTAGACTAAAACTAGTAAAATAAAAATATTTTGCCCAGAGACATTGAAAAAGGTCTCGAAAAACGTTTTATAAAGCCGCAGGTGTAAACTTACCAGTCTGAGTTTCAAAAACGCTCGCACGGAAGTGCGAGATAGATGTCACCAGTAAACTTGCGATCAGAATGTTAACACTCAGAAGAAACAAACGAATGAGCCGCGAAGTAGCCATCGACACAAATTTTTTTGCTGAACTTCACTGTAGCTACATGTAGATGCGCTATTCCATTTTTGCGCAAGGGAACTGCTCATATTTTAAAAAAACACAGTAAGATGAAAAAGCAATAATGCAACGAACGAATTCTAGTAATAAAACGCCCCAGAGAACGCTTGCATTACCGGCTGTAAGCGTCCAGGACGGGGGTTCTTACATGTGACTGCCGAGCTAAAAAATATAAATTATTCTGAAATACTAATGTTTTATATTACGGCCAGACTCAATGGAAGCTAAGGGAAATAAATTAGCTATTGCAATGTTATGTCTATTGGGCATTCATAGGGGAATAGAGTGGGGCAATTGAACCATAGGGTAAAATTAAACAGATGGGTGATTGAACAGTTTTTGGCCTGGAGCCATCTGCTAAGTGCAGTGTTGATATTGTATTTAATTATTAAGATGTCTCGTTTCATCGTTTTAGTTGAGGGATTCTTAATTAATCGACGGCCGCTAAGCTAGCCTTCCAAAATTTTAGCTTTACAACCCCCCCTCCCCCCCCCCCAAAAAAACAAAACAAAACAAAACAAAAAAAAAAAAAGAAATCCGAATTGCAAAAATTTAAGGGTGGGTTGGAGAAGCTCGATCTATGGTTGAACTTGAAC